GAAAAGAGAATGGAGGAAAAGGGATTGTGGCGTGGCCATCCCCCCTGGGGGGGGTGGTGATTTCTCACTTTCTGTCCGTTTTCTTTCTGGCGTGCGACCGCCCCCATAGGAAAAAACTCTCCAAAAAAAAAAAAAAAAATCTGTACAGTTGGAAAATGCTTTAAAGAAACAAATAACTTCCTGGCCCTTCAAATTATCTTCTCCAGGAGGTGGAATGAAGAAAAAGACCGCCCACTTTGTAGAAGCTAAAGATGCTGGCAATAGGGAAGACCCAATCAACAGACTAATTAGAAGGATGAACTAAGGTGTATACCATGATTATTTCTATAATCTGGTCAGTAAATAAGCAGTGGCTGTTTTCAGACTAAAAAGAATTAGAAACACATCATTCTGCAATACAAAACAAATTGTGTTGGATGCTAAATGTTGCCATACTCAATTTAGACATGTTATATAAGCATATATTGCTACAAAATGTAATTGTATTTATACCAGATATTTCTTGGCAACTCACAGTACTATTGACCATTATTGAACATTATTTGATGAAAATCCTCAGAAACAAAGGAAAGATTATGCTAATAAATAGTTCTATCTTTAGAAGTTCATTTGGGAGGCACATGGAATGTTCACCAAGACAGATTATATTCTGGGTCATACAACGAGTCTCAATAAATATAACAAGTCATTACTGAATCCCATCTGCCTGAAATCTGTCACACAAGTTTTCTCTAAGTATTTGTTGAATGAATGAGTATAACCCTGGTTCCCAAATCCACCATACCTAGCTCTTCTGAGTCTTGTCTATCTACCTGGTAGCCTCCTGCTCTTGTGAAGCCTCCACATTTCTTAATAGCATTCCAAGGTTTACTTCTCTAATACTAGGGCTTAGAGGAAGAAGGAAGAGAGATTAAAATATTTCCACTCTACCACACCTGCTTAGTGAGTGTCAACTGAAAAACTGACATCAAGTATCATATCATTTATTTGTTTTTAGGTCAAATCAATACATTTCTCACCATGGGTAATCTGTTGTAATCAGTTCTTTTAAAATGCTTTACTTTTGGTATTTGAAAAGAAATTATTTTTTAAATTATTTTATTTAACTTTATTTATTTATGTATTTTAATTTGACCAGAGAGGGACAGAGCTAGAGACAGAGAGAGAAAGAAAGTGAGAAAGCAAGCTGCCAGGTCTGGAACTCGAACCATAGTGCCCAACACCATTAACCACCACGCCTCCTGCCAGCCCCTGAAAAGAAATTATTCTAGAGTTCATTAAAAAATAACCAGAAACTTCACCTTTGAGGCTGATGAATGGTTTGACTTACAGTATAAGAATTTTTCAAGAATTATATAATTCCATTTGTTATTATTATTTTTTAAATTTGACAAGAGAGAGACACAGAAAGAGAGAAAGGGAAAGTGAGAAAGCAAACCACCAGGTCTGAGACTCAAACCATGGTCAGCCATGTGGGAGTCCAGTGCTTCAACCACCACGCCACCTGCTGGCCCCACTGTTAGATGCTCTTTAGGTCACTTTTTTCAAAAAGCTCTTCATTCTTGGTATTTTAAAAATGATATTATTTTTCATCATATAATAATTAGAAAATTGACATTTAGAACTGATTCTTCGTTTTATTTGCAGTGTTGTTTTATACTGTTTTAAAGAACTAGATTCCTCACGTTTTATTCAAAGAGAAGAACTGGTAAATGGCTTCCATTTTGCACAGGGGTGACGGGAGATAGGGTGGAGGCATCATCAATGGCTGAATTAGAAATTGGATTGGCTGACATTTCACCCCTTTGGAATTTTCTAAATGCAAACAAGTGTAGTTATTAGGGCATTGGTCATTAACCGCCACTGATACTGTCTCTTTGAACATAGCAAAAGGTCTGGAAAGAGTCAGGCATTCATAAATATTGGTCATCGGAAAAGTCATGACGTATTTTTGTTTGTTTGTTTTTCTAAACAAA